CAGATGGAATCCGGAAGAGACCCAACCTGTGTGATCTAATTGGTCTGAGAGAGGTAATCGGCAGGAGGCGATCTCTCAGGTACCTCTCAAACAACACTATCTGAAGTCATAGTGTGCTTCGTTTCTAAGTTGCCATACGTATGGGGGGAAGGGAATGTGAAGAATGTAGAATGTTTTCCTCTACAGGGCAAGACATAACAGTGATAATGCTCATGAGAACCAAGGTCAGCTGAACATGCCTTAGCAATGGCAGGAGGGATCACCTGCTTGGTTGTTTAACATGACCTGTGACACAAGGGGTGGACAATATACATTATTTAATTATACCAAAGGCCAAAGCACAGGAATTATTTAGAGTTTGTTTCACATTTGAATGTGCCAATATAATGTACCCAATAAAAAAGGATCTTTGAGAAAAGCCACAGCCTCAAAGTCTTGAATTGAATGGGAGCATTACTCAGAACCATGACGGCTGTTTTATCATTTCTAATATAGTACAGTGGGAGTTTTGAGTACAGTTTGATTACATTTCAAATTACATAATGAGCAGGATCACAAAATGGCTGCCATCAGAACATCATTAGTATTAAACATGTAATGCAGCTCCCTGTTTTTCTATCTATGTCCTTGCACCAGTGTGCATGTGTGCATAGCCATATGAAGGAACAAGGAGTAGATAGCATGTTCAAAGTGTCAAAAATTGTCGTTCTGTATCTTCTTCTGAAGTAGTCCCTACTTAATGAGTTTAGGACATGATATGTTGGCTTGGTTTAAATAAAGTTGGAACGCAATGACCCTTTGCTAGTATTCTCCTGGTATAAAAGTTCAGAGGATATGAGACAGCACTGGAGTAAGTGGGTGTGGGCCTCGAATCCCTAAAAAATAGTAAACCTTGATCTGGTCAGCCTGAAAAGTCAGCAAAAGTGACATTTGATGGAGTTAATGACTGATATTTAATGTCTTAACTGTTGTCTATCTTTGCATTTTCAGGGTATCTGAGGTTGGATGACTTGAGTAATGTGTGAATCTCTGCATGCTATAGTGGGTCTTAAACTAATTCCTAAACAAACCCTCCCTTAATTTATTGGATTTTGCCAAATACTGCCCAGTCGCAAATATCCCTTCTTGGGACAAGATGCTTGAGGAGATGGTTATCAGTGCAGCTGCAGATTGCAGTAAAGGGAAAACACCAACCTGCTTGTAAGCCACAGCACCAGACTCAGTGCTTGCTAAGCATAGAAGCTCCTCTGAAGGAAAGGCAGGATTGATGCCTACAGAGGAAGAACCTTCTGGATGGCCTTTATTAGCCATGTATACTATAAACTATATAGTATAATATATATTATATTATTATACTATAATATAAACTCTCTCAACCTTCTATGGTCTCTGGCTCTGACTCAACTCTAAGAGACAACAACTGGTTCCTCATACAGTGAAGCCTTACTTGGAAGGAAGGAAGGAAGGAAGGAAGGAAGGAAGGAAGGAAGGAAGGAAGGAAGGAAGGAGCCAGGGGCTATTCAAGCAAGAAGTTGCTCACATGCTCATAGCTAAGGTTGGAAAGCTTATTGAACTGTTGCTATATCCATTTAGTTCTTTGGTTAGAAATTTTATTTTCAGAGTTACTTTGATTTCTTGGTTTGGACTATTGAAGATCCAAAGAATCTATTTTTATTGTCAACTGCTACCCTGAACGCTCATGAATCAGGGGAGAGGTAACTTCATCAGGTCTTTGGACAGTCCAAGATTTGCACCAGCCTCAGTATTAATTGTACTGACACAACATGGCTGACTGGGGATATAATTTAACTCCAACCTAACCTTTTGTGGTTGGAGCTAAAACTAAGCTTCTGTTGCTCTTGCATAACTTGGGTTTCTATCTGTGTATACACACATATCATGAATATTGTAATCCAGATAAAAGCACTGTCTGAATCCTGATAGTCTGTTAGGTGAAATTACTTGTCGTCTTCATTCAAGCTATATACTCCTCATTACTTGTATATTTATATATTCTTGTTTATCCATTTATATAATTTGTGAGGTTCATTATTCTAAAACAACACAATCTGCTGTTAATCAAGCTTTATGAAGTCCATCTAGACTTCAACATCTGGTTTCTATAGGGTCATAATTTCCTGGGCTCTGCAGGTTTTAAAAGCAAAAAAATGCCATTTTCTGTGCACCTCTAACTCTTCCTATAACCATTCGCTCTTGAATGGTCTTACAATTATTGGACCAGTTTTCCTATCAGGACAAAACAAGCCACATGGATGTAAGCATGTCCTCCTGGCCATTCATGGTGACCCATTGCCTCCTTTCCTAAATGACAAGTGTTGCACAAAATCTTTTTAGTGTGAGGAGATACTTTACACAGCTGAAGAGAAAGAAAGGAAGCCACAGCAGGCATCAGGTGAATTCCACATGTGGCAGATGGCATCATTATTCTTTCTTACAAAGCAATCAAGGTATTAATGATACTGCTCAGTTTGTCATCTCACGCAGAAGAATAATTAATTGCTCTACAAAATAGCAGCAGTTGACATGGTGGCTTTTATAAGTGGAAACGTATTATAAACTAAAGGGCTTTGCTCACTACAAGCATAGCACTTACTGTCAGGACAAAAAAAAAAAAACCTTTTACTGAACCCTGCAGGTCCCAAACCTGTTATTATAACTGTGTTACCTTTATCATTTAAACGTATTTCCAATCCTTCACTTCCATCTTTCCTGAACCTAAGTGTCCCCCTACGAGAACTCCAACATACTTCCATTCAGCTGTTCACTGTGCATAATGAGATAGTGATGGTGCTACTAAAAAGCTGTCATTTACACAGGGATTCAAAAAGTCAGAGAATAATGGGGTTCCATTTTAATCAGAGGGCTGGGCTTTGTTCTCAGGAGATGGAAATGGGTGTCCACAATGAGTGCTCCATTGTGATCCCACACACTCCACTTATTTTACTATTACTTCAGAGGCAAAAAAAAAAAACCCCACATCTGTAAAACTACCCTGTTTAACGTGAAAGGTTACTATTAGTGCACCGACTGCAATTCCTTTATGTTCAGATGAAAAGAAATGTAGATTACGTTAAACTGAGGTCCTTTACAGCCCTATGATTCCACGTTCTGAGGTGTAGCCTCTCGTTTAACTTCGAAAGGTAAGAGAAAGAATTGTATGTAGATTTTGCACAGGGAGGGAAAACCTTGATCTTTTATCAGTTATACCACAGTTGGATACAAAGAAAAAGAAGTTATTTGATGGGCATGGCTTACCATCTAGAGGTTGGTTCATTTCACAAATGTAGCTTCTATAGTGTTATGACCTGATTTAAATACCTTTAGTGACAAGAAAGTTTGAATTTCATAGAGCTTATTTCCAAGACAGTATAGTATTATAATTCTCATTTGAATGAGAATGCACTCTACATGGGGCTGCCCTTGAAGAGTGTTCGGAGACTACAGTTGGTCCAGAATGAAGCCACGCGAGCGATATCGAGTGTACCTCGGTACACCCATGTTACACCGATCCTCTGCGAGCTGCACTGGCTCCCTATTGGTCTCCGGACGCGC